ATAAAGAACAACAGGCATTTTCAAATGATGTCGAAAACAGAAAAACGTCAAAAATGGAGATACGAGGTTTTCTTCCGACAACAGCGATATACACATATAAATGTGTAAATTATCAACATTATCATCAAACTATTTGTATGTTTTCCTTTTTTCTTCCCATCTATTTTAACAATGAATGGTATATTGGGCTGTATGGACTGTTTCTCTTGCATTTCTATCATATGTCCACTGAGTGAGGGGAGGGTGCATGACAGAATATGAATTTTAAGGTAAGGTTATCATCTGGTTCTCAGTGTTGAACTGTGTAAGGCAACTGTTTCATAATCTTATGCATTAATACAATTAAACAATGAAGAAGATGAGTTCAAAATCTAAGCCTCAATTTTACTGGCAGTCCAGAAGTGGTGTGTGACTGGGTGTCTGTGTGTGTGTGACTGCTATAACCTGAGAGCCACCGTGGCATCATCACACTTAACCATCATACACAAACAATGAAATTCTAAAAAAGCTTACAAATGCACCTGTTAGCTTTATGTTACAATCTTCTTACATACCATACATTTAGTATTCAATCTCACACACAAACATCTGATAAAAAGTAACTGATATATTCATGTCCCAACTCTATTTAATGCCAGTATTAGGCATTTTTCTTGGCACAATAGTTTTCATGTTTTAATGGGGAAATCCTTGACTTACATTGTGTTGATTAAAGAGACCATAGTGTGTTTAATGCAGTATAAAAACAACAGCAAAGACTAATGTGAAATTGGCCAATCAGAAGAGAATGACTGTTCTGTGTTCTGTCTGTAATTTAGTCCTCAATCATTTGAGACCTTCATAGTAGTTTCATTTGCATTCTTTTCACTATTCTTGATCAGTGTCTTTTGGTTTATGCCTGTGGTTCCACTTTTATTTATGTTTTGATCTTTCACAAAGACAGAAAGCACAGTGAAGCAGCTCCCCAGAGCAGAGGTTTCCTGTTGTAGTTTCTCATAACTGCACTCACTTCAGAGAGATTCACACTAACACACAGATCAGCATTAGAGCACTGAGAGCTTAAACACACTACTGACTCCATCTGATCATATTCACAATGAAGAGAAACCTCCTCATCATTCTCATCATCACATCAGGTACTCACTGTGAAGATGCACTTAGAAACAATGACATTTTCCTAAAAAAAATTGTAATATATTTTTATTCTGCTTTTCTTTCAGGTGTGTTTGATGCTGATGAAATTGGACCAAATGATCAGGAGCCTGATGTTTTTGGAAAGGAGGGAGAATCTGTTACACTGAAATGCTCTTATGAAACAAGTAATGAAAATGTTTGGCTCTACTGGTACAGACAGTATCCTAACAGAGCTCTACAGTATTTACTGCTAAAAGGTGCTCGACGGGAGAGTTATAATCATACTTCAGACCAAAGATTTTCATCAGCTACATCCAGATTATTCACTGAGCTCAATGTTAGAGAACTAAAACTGGCAGATACAGCTCTCTACTACTGTGCTTTTAGAGTTGGAGCCCAGTGATACAGTCTTTGAGATGCTTTACAAAAACTCACACACCTTCTGTTTGCTTTGAACACAAGGAGATCAAATTAACATTCAAACCACAATGTATTATCTGTTATTACATTCTCAATGAAATGACTGAATGAGGTAAAAGATGAAGGAAAAAAAGCATGAATGAATGTGTACCAAACAGAACACATGTAAAGCTCAGTTTTCATTACAGAATCTTTTTACTGCTGATTTCTTTTTTAAGAAAATGTGACCTTAGTTGACAGAGTTGACTTTTTTACTGCTTTACATTTACATTTACTGCTTTATGTGCTTTTTTGTTCTTACTGAAGATCTAAACGCATTTGAATATGATTGGAAAAAGGGCATAAAATAAAGCTGAACTTCAAATTGTGAATCTACTTCAGTGGTGCAGATGACATGATAATAAGGTATCGCCTATAAGTGAAAGATCTACTTTCAACATTAGAGAACACACACTGGCAGAGTCGGCTTTCCATTGTTTCTCTTAGATACACAGTTCAACAATACAAGGTAAAATAAATAACACTTTGATTTTTGCCTGAGGGATAAATATTATTTTGCTGAAAAACATAAAAATGTGCTTAGAATACAGAGATGCACGGAGAAGTCTAAACTCACTCTTACTCTGTCTGTGGAAAGCTGGCAGTAATAATGTGAAGACGAAGAGATTACAGCTGCGTGCTGTGTAGATCAGACTGAACAGAGATCAACATACAGCCTCCGGAAGAGGAGCTGCAGTTCAGCCTTTATACCTGTCTGTTTCTGTGATCGTGATGCTCTTCTTAATGATGTTTCTGTTGTCTGTTCAAGGTAAAACTTTGCATTCTTAATATTCTGCATATCTTTCTTCTCTTATTTTATAATCTATTCTTTCATTCATTCATTTTAACACAGTCTCTGTTTTCTTATTGAAGTAATCAAGCTGTAGAACTAATCACTCCATACACTGCAGCAGTTTTGCCAATGAGGGTGAAAGTGTTACACTTTCTTATAATTACAGCAGTTCTGGCCCAAGCAGCATTGTACAGGCTTTTTGTGCAGGTATAATTAGATTGAGCTCTTCTTAAATGAACATTCTCAGCACATCATCTCAATTTGAAGCAAAATGATTAAATAAATAATGTTGTTAGTAATAAAAGTCAAAAGTAGCTTTTACTGTCAGATGTTCTTCCTCTGTTCTATGTGAAAGACAGAAGGAGAGAAGGAGTCTCTTCAGATTCGAAAACACCTCAGTTTCTCTTCTTAGCTATATCTTTTAGATATTAGTTAGTAGTTTTAAGCTACTAACCGTCTCTAATTTTCATGATCCTGAGCAAAGTCTTTTGCTTCATCCCAGTTGATGCCAAATTACAAAAACTGCTGTATCTTTTGCACAGGCCATAAAAAACTAAATTAAATAGATAAATAAATAAATAAACTGGTATTGTGCAGTAAAATATACAGATATGAGTTACATGTATAGAATAATTACTTACTTATCACACATAAAAACTTATTTTATAAAGAATTAATTACATTTTTAAATAATTAATTTGACCAGGTGGCCAAACTGCACTTTTAATGACAGGGTTTGAAACACTCTAGGGAGATACAGTTTTCTTACAGCAGTAACAGATGTGGAAACCCCAGATAGTGTCAGAAGGTGGAGCTGTGTGCTCAAGTCATAAAGAAACTTTCACAAAAGACCTCATTTTTGACTTTACTCCTTGCTGTTATTTTCTTTATTCATCATGTTCTTTTGTGCTTTTCTGATCCTTTCAGTATTAACAGGTAAGAGATACTTCAAACTCCTGTTTTTGTTCAGTTTTTCATCGTAAATTCTACTGAACATTTCATTTTCTTTTCTGACAGGTGATTCTTCTGAAGACTTGATAACATCTCATGGGTCTGTTAAACATGCCAGAGATGGTGAGAGTGTTGCTCTCTCCTGCAACTACAATGGCTCTGTATACAATCTGCTCTGGTATCGTCAATATTCCAGTTCCAAACCAGAATTCCTCCTCTCCACCACTGAATCTGGAGGAACTGTTAAAGCTGATCCAGCAGCACAGTTATCTGCTACAGTTGATAAAAACAGCAAAGTTCTGAACCTGACGATCTTCTCTGCTGCAGTATCAGCCTCTGCACTCTACTACTGTGCCCTGCAGCCCACAGTGACAGGAAACCCAGCTACACTGTACAAAAACACCTGCTTATAGCACTTATTATACAGAACTTTAAACTGTACTGATCTTACATTTAAATTGGCGATTTGATATTTATTTCTCTGGAGTACTGATAACATTAATCAATATATTTCAATCAATATAATGTATTTAATTTTTCACTCTTAGGAACATAATTTTGATCTAAATTAGTGTTTATGTATGTGCAGTCTCAGGATGAGATAATAATCTACTCACAGAGAAGTAATGAGGGAAATACTAAAACAGTTTGTTCTAAGCTGAAGCTGAAGCAACTTACAAACCATTTCAAAGTTTTTGAGTATTGCAAAAACTGAGCTGCATGAGACTGCTGTTCAGTCATGAAATGTCTTAATGGTTGGTGGCTTCTTTCTGTTGTTTTAGGTAAGATACATATATCTTGACCATATCATTGTAAAAACTCATGTAACATCTGAACATCGAGCACACAGAGTTAATACAGTTTCTGTTTTGTAATCTAGACCTTAAATTTTAACCTGATCTCACTCTATAAAATATCTCTTCAGCGCGGAGGGAATAGATCAAATTTCTTCCACTATCGTCAGTATTTCAGATCCAGACCTGAGTTTCTGATGCTGATCAGTAAACTTAATACAAAAGCTGATCCTCCAGTTACTACAGTGTCTGCAAATGTAAATGAAGAGAAAAAAGGGAACTGTACAAAAACCTCATTGTGTGTTTTTTCTGAAATCATTTATTTAATAATGAATAGTCTACAATTTAACACCTCACACATGTAGATATTATTCTTGAAAACATTACTGCCACTTTCAGTGTCAAGCATTAATATTCCCTTCACATTCCAGAACACTATGAACAGTCATAAAAGCAGAAATAACTGATTGTAATAACAACCTGACATTCCTGAGTGGCACAACCGTATAAGTGTTGTTCCTCTCATCAGGAGATTGTGAGTTCAATCCCTGCTGATGGTGGGTAGGATGACCCCTCTGTCTCCCCCCATCACCCAGTGCATGTATCTGTTAGCAGATGTAACAGAACTGACAGTTGGTCCTCCAAGTGCATTCAGCTCTCTGAAAAGATGTGGTGGCTTGCTTCACAGGTCTCAGAGGAAGCTTGTGCTGCCTTCTAGTGCTGGTGGTGGTAGCATGTGATCGGGGGAGTCCTAACAAGTGGGTGGAAAAGGATATGTCTAGATTGGGGAACAAAAATATTATTTATTCCTGGGCATTATTATTTATTCCCAGGCATTATTTATTCCCATGGGCACTCATAGTCAAAACATGCAGTATGTCCAGAGGGGGCTGCAGTCCAGAAAAGTGATCACAAGAAAGGAGGCAGAGGCTGGACGAGGGCCAGGGATGGAGCATAGATCAAGGTAAAAACCTAGAGTGGCAGCAAGGCCCTGAGGACCTAGTCAACAGCAAAGACCATAGGTCTTTCAGTGGCAGATGGTGGGGGTGTTAGTTCATCACTGGACAGTTGGGGCTCTGTTTTGGTGATGAAGCCAGCACAAAAGCTGAGTGAGGGGCAGGAAAAGGAGCAAGCACTGGGAGAGCAGCCCTGGGAGCCAGCACTGGAGGACCTAGCTGAGCAGAGGACTGGGCAAACAGCCCAGTAGGTCTCCTACTTGTTAGTGCTCTCTGGAGCACAGGGTGCTGATATGGGAGCAGGCACCTGCTTGCTGGTGCGCATTGGCACACTGTGCAGCCTATAGACATCCATGCTCATTTCACTGTGGCCTCCTTGGGTGCAGGCAGGGCTTGGCAGGCATGCTCTGCTGTGGAGGCTCACTGTGTCACCACCTGCCCACTCAGCAACACAGGGGCTGGAGCTGGAGTGGTATAACCAACCCAGGGTTTTATCCTCCACTTCTTCAAACGCATAGCAGAAGAGATCCCAAAACTGAGCCAATTAATCACTTCACTTTTGAAAGGCCCATTTGCAGCTCAGTTCAAAGCAGGTCTTCTGAACATTTAGTATTTTTACTTGTTTGTTATTTGTTATTTGTTACCAGCACCTGTGGCTTTCCCTCAGGCTTTCTTGGAATGAAACATCTCACTGTGTTTAGCTAAGTAAAGCTGGCTTTCCCACAAAATCCTCAAGTGGTACATTAAATATCCTGGGGAGGACCAGCCATGATGTGACAGGCTTGGTGGTGGCTGTAACAGGCTTGCTAGTCACTGCATCCTTTGTTGTTGGCAAAGTTTTCTGTAATGCAGACTCAAGATGTTTCTGCAAAACAGGATGTCCCCCTTTTAACCAGTCAGTTTCCTCTTATTCATTATCTGGTTTCCTCTTTTCCCTACCTAAAACATTTTCTCATAAAAACACTTCAGTATACAATTTCTATGTATTAATATCTCTTAATGTACATCATCAGAATAAACAGATTTTGACTACAGCACTATGTCGTTCTGCCTTAACACAGCTACAAAATGCATACACTCTCTGATAAATATCCAAGTAATCAAAATCTTTGTATGTATGAGCGTGCCTTCTGTTATATGTAAACTTATAATAACAAAATAGACTGGGACAAATAACAATTGACATTCACATAAAACTCTTATTCAGAAGTAGCAGTAGGCTACTCATTCTACAAATCTTTGTATTCTTAAATCATCATTCTACCAGAAGGTGGCACTCTAGTCTTTTAAATTAAAACTGAGCCTTTGTCAGATTATCATATTGGCCTCCTTAAAGAATAAACTCACTACTGACTCTTGCAGTCATTTTATCTGTCTGAAGATCAATCATGATGTTGTTCTGTGTCTTGCTGATGTTTACTCAGTTTGAAGGTGAGTAATTTAGCAGTGCCTTTTTGTTTTACTGAATTTAACCTGAAAACATCTACATACATTTCACACATAACCATGAAATTTGATTTAAAAACCTCATGATCTTTCTTTTTTTCTTCCTTAGGAAATACTGCTGCAGATGGAATATACCCACTCTCCTCCGAAAAGCATGTATCGGAGGGAGCAGATTTCACTCTCTCTTGTAACTACAGTGCAACTACAGTGCAAGGCTTGTACTGGTATCGTCAGTATCCTGGATCCAGACCAGAATTCCTCCTTTTTCTTAATGAGTACAGTAATAAATCTGAACCTGCTCTTCGTTTGACAGCAGTGGCAAACAAACAAATGAAGTGTGTGGATCTGAAGATCTCTCACACTGTAGTGTCAGACTCTGCACTGTACTACTGTGCTCTGCAGCCCACAGTTAAAGGAAACTCAACTACACTGTACAAAAACTCACTTCACTCACACACAGAGCATTCAAAAGACCTGTTTTTGACTGGATGGAGTTCATATGTTCTTATAACTGTAAAAAGCAAAGGTCTTTACAGTAAGACAGAGGATGCATTATAACAGAATCAGTTCAGTCAGCGCTATATAAATAATACTGAATTGATTTGCTGTTGCTGTTAAAGACATAAAAGTGCAAATGACTGTTAGAGGGTCATATTCAACAGTTACCTTGACCAATTTAAGATTTTTTAAGACAATGTGGGCAAGGTCACTTGCAAGTTGATGGGCAATGCTTGTTTTGCAGGACCAGAATTGAATAGATAAATGTTGTACATTCTGTGTCCAACAAGAGTTACAAAAAGCTAAAATCCTACTACACAATGTTCCCATACAGTCCTGCACTCAGTAAGTTATCTAAGTCATCCCTGTGTATCACTACATTTGCTCACATATAAGCAAAAATAAAATATTGCTGTTGTCGGAAGAAAACCTTGTATCTCCAAAATGGTAACTTTACAGGAGAAGGAGAAAACCTACTTTACTTTTAATGTAAGTCAATGGAACCAGACTTTTTTCCAAATCATTTTAGGTCATTTCTTCATGTCCATTCATTATGAAATTTACAAACAATGTAAAGGGTAACATGTATTTACAAATTCTGCCAAAAACTTAAAAATATCAAAAATGGAGATTCAAGGTTTTCTTCCGACAACAGCGATATCCTGTTTTATTCTGGTTGGAGTTAATTCTGGGATAAAGAATGTCAGGAGTTTTGTGGCTAAAATAATAATCCAAACAGAAGAGAAAGGGAATAATACATATAAGAAAACAATAATATGAAAAAGACTAAAGCTTAAAAAATGTTTATTACAAAGAAACAAGGAACATGAGAGACTGATCCACACTAAACCGTTATGTTAGGATCAGGATAAACCTGTACAAAATAATTATCATAAGATAAAGAAGTCAGGCATGACAGCAGTATATTGTGAATGAGTGTATCAAGGAATTCAAGGAACATGAATAAAAAAGGACTTTCATTCTATGTATACATTCATTTTACATATACATTCATTATAAATGTGCATATGCATCAGATTCTGATTATAACTGTATCACTCAACTTAAAGTAAAGAAAAGAATAAGATGAAAATGAAAATATACACATATATTATACTGCTATATGCAGTTTATTTGAAGTGTAATCCAAACCCATGAGGATCTGTTGATCTGCTCTGCTATAGTATCAGACTCTGTGCTACAGGGATTGAATCTGATTGGTTCACCTGAGGCAGCCAATAAAATGAGAAAAAAGCAATCAAAAACAATTGGGGCAACAGCTAAAACAGACAGATATGTTGCCTGGATTGCTCTCAGGCAAGGTGACATTCCTAGTGCTACTGTGTCTATTTTAGCAGAGTAATAAAACACCGGCCTCTCTCTCTCTCCATGACTTTGGGTTAGACAGCTAGACACAAATCCTAGTGACTCTGAAACATACAGGGTGAATGGTAGTTCCATGTTCACTAAGCCTAGTGCTGGGGCCTTGCATAGAGCAGTTTTAAGGGAATGGAACGCTTGTAACTGATCATCATTTAGCTGAAACTCAGGCTTCTGATTTTCTGTTTTGGTTAGATCATATAGCGGTTGAGCCGTTTTTGCATAATCTTCAATCCAAGGCCGACAGTAATTGCACAATCACAGAAAAGAGCGTAGCTGTGCTAGGGTGACAGGTGGTGAAATAGCATATACCGCGGCACACCGGTCAGGCAAGATCGACCTCTGATCCTGTGACACCAGCTGTCCCAAATACTGAACAGAGGATTGGTTAATCTGGGCCTTTTTTAAAGAGGCTTTGTGTCCTACCGAATGTAGGTAATCTAATAAAGCTAGCAAGTTATGTTCATGTTCCTCTGCATTTGAGGAAGCTACCAAAATGTTGTCTATATATTGTAGAACCGTACTAGTCATTGTTGGAGCATCAGATGATGCAAACTGTCTACGCAGGGTTTGATGATAAATAGTAGGTGAATTATGAAGGCCTTGTGGCAATCTTGTCCACTGGTATTGTTGGGAACCTACAGTAAAAGCTAGCCATGGTTGATAATCTTCATGTAAAGGTACAGACCAAAATCCATTTGCCATATCAATTACAGAGAAAATACAATGTTCTGGATGCAATCCATTAAAAATAGTGGACGGATCAGCTACCATAGGTGCAGTTTTTGTTATGCATTTGTCAGCTTAATGATAATCTACAACCAGACGAAATGAATCCCCTTTAGGAACCGGCCATACCGGTGAGTTGCTGGGACTTTGGGTTGGACACAATACACCTTGTCTAACCAAATCCTCCACTATAGGTTGAATACCTGCCAATGCTGCATCATTAATTGGATACTGCTTGGTATTCAGGGGAGGAGTAACAGCCAGTTTCACAGATTCAACCCTTAGTAAACCACAGTCTGTGGGAGATTTGGACCAGATAGGGTGTTCTTTAATAGTAGACAAACTAATGGTAGCTAATAACCATGTCACAGAATTCGGTGAGATTGTAAGCTTAGATGCAAACTGAGTAATTATATCCATACCTAAAATAGGAGATGTGGATATCTGTCCCACCCACAAAGGCACTAACAATGTATGTGGACCACAGTGTATCTCTAATGGTTCAGACAAGTACAACTGAGTCTGACCTGTAACTCCAGAAGCTAAGCTTTCTTCTTTTGACAAAGGTATTTGTAATGACTGTGCCAGTGTTGAAGGTAAGACCGATATTTGGGCGCCTGTATCAAACAAAAAATCAACGTCTGTGCCACACACGGTCAATGTTACAAACAAACGATTATCATACGGATTAACATTCGACCGAGCGCCCAAATTGTGTTGCACAGCGTCTATTAGTTTAAAGATCCTGCTGGAGGAGCTGTGGGCTGTATGGTATGCTGTTGTACATATTTTAGAATGGCACCTGCTTGTTCAGGAGAAAGAGCAACAGCCTTACCTTGGCCCTTGTTATAATTAGAAGATTTATGGTCCTGATCACACTTCTTTTTACGGCAATCTTTCTGCCAGTGGCCTACTGCCCCACAATAATAACAATGTCCCCTACGTCCGTTAGCTTGTGCTACAACATTTCCTTGTTTAGCACTGACCTGTTGCCCTGGTATAGTTTGAATAACATGCACTTTATGGGACTTAGAAAGCTCACGTTCTAAATCTGACATTAAGTTCACAAGGTCCCTAAAATTCCAGTCTCTATATGCAATGGGCAACTGTTGTTTAATTTTGTCACTCAAGCCATCAAACCAACATTGATGTAATGGACTAGGACCTGTAATTCTGTCCAAAGTAGCATCCCGATATTCTGTCAAACCAGAATGTGCCAGGAAACATTCACGAAATCGAGTAGTGTAAGCAGGTACAGATTCACCTTTTCCTTGTTTGCATTCAGCTATAGTAGCCCAGGATGTAACATCTGACCCATGCTCCTTAATAAAAGTCTCAATTACTTTCCTGTGCTCATCTATAGTAGAGGTTTCATCCACAACTAGTTCATCATGCAATTCTTGGACCTCCCTTTCAGCAATATGTTGGGATAAAATTAACACCTCATCCAATGGATGCAGATTATATAATCGTCTTTTGCGACGCAACATACAGATGAAAGGAACAGTACCCATAACCCGAGGATGTTTAAAATCCTTGCTTAGTTTATCAAGCTGTTCTGGACTAAGGGGTATAGGCCAGTCTTTTACACGTACTCCCCCTGTGGCTAAATTCGTAACTGTCCTTACCAGCGGAGCACACTGCAATTGAGATGGTTCATGATTATCGGAATCTGATCCTGACTCACTATCCTGACAATCAGTAGGAAGTTTTCCCCTTAAATCTGGATATAATTTTGGACTACCGGTTGTTGGTGTTGGGTTACAGGGGACTATAGACTGATTTGACTTTAATTTTTCCTCCTGCAATTTAGTTTGATGCTTTTGTTGCAGTTTTTTATACGCTGACTCCAACTTATTAATTCTAGTATTAAGGCATGTTATTTCTTGCTCATAGCGTTTTCGCTCAGCCTCCATAAATTGCCTAGCGACATATGTAACGTGTTTACCACTATCTTTCCGTATTGCATAACCTAAGGCTTTCTTACACTCATCTAGAGACCAAATTTTATCTGGATGAACAGGCAATTTCTTTTGATAGTGTTTGTCTAAACTAGATGAGTCTATATGTTTACATAACTGTTCATCCAGTCTGACAATGAATACATCATCAGGCCAATCAGGTGCCACCCTACCACCCCTCTGTGTGGTAGCCTTCTCTCCTGCCATGGGCTTATGGGAACACTACCGTGGTCTTCCCCTCTGTTCCGTCAACAAGAGGAGGATATCCTACTGGTTACAGGGTTTGCTTCGAAATGGGCACTCACCTAGAGATGAGATGTCCAATCCGGGTCATGGCACCACTTGATAGAATCCAAACCCGGGAGACTCGATCTGTTGTCTGGACAGGTGAAGTTTATTTGTTGCGCGCGCAGGTTCCAGACACCCAGCCAGCCCCCCTATACAATGGACTGTCACACTTTTATAGCTGGACTGATGCCAAGATTAGACTCAGCGTATACAAGACAAGTAACAGGTGTGACAACATGACCATATAAGGAGAAAGACAACAATAAGCAACCTAAAATACAACTTCAAAACACACACACACAACACAGCACATTAACTTCCTTCACTGCCAAAACAAGATTTTGTGCGATGCCACAGAAGAACCTTATGTTTCATTAGAAAAATGCTTGAATTGATAGTTCTTTACAGAAACATTTTGGTAAAGATGTGTGAGTGTAGAGAACATGCTTAAAGACTAAAGAACCTCCTCATGATGTAAAGGTTCAGGCAGAGCTTTTAAACTGATATATGACATTTACAGCAGTTTTATTGTGTTTGGGGACAAAAAATAACTTGATTCTGCCTCAGTTATCCAACAAAAAAGATACAAAAAATATTCTTCATAATTACTACATACTTTAATAACTGTCATCAGCATTGAGCATAGAGGGATAGTTAGGAATCATTTATTGTTAAAATTGTGGCAACAACTCCAATGTATGTTTCTGGAAATGGATTTTAAAAACATTTTCACTATTATATGGACTTCTGCGTTTTAAAATTATTAATTAGGTATAATTAGGTAATATTTCACAAATCTTAAAAGAAAACTTGTGACTAGAGGGCTGGTCACCTTTGCTTATGATAGGTCAGGTTGTTTCGGCCCTGGACGGTATCAGTCAGATTGTTTCAGTTGGCTCAAAGTTAGCTGGTGCGCTCCTCTTAATCTTTTTCAGGCAAAATCTCTGGGATTCTTTTGTGTTCATAGAGTTGCTGTCATTTTTTAAAATTTATTCTGAGGTAACGTCAACTTGCTGAAGATCTGCGCATTCCAGAGTGTCCTCGTTTTGAAATGATTCCTAACACTTTGTGATTCCTCTTTCAGAAGATCTTCATGCTCTTAATACAAACACCACATTGATAAATAGATGTGAGGGCAGCAAGAAAACAACACCAAACTATTTTTTCCAGTGTACACAAAGAACTATACAAATCTTTGGGAATATCCATCTTAATAGAATTATGTATTTAATGTACCTGTTGCTCCCAGTGAAGGTGCATGTGCATTAATCCAGTAGGATTAAATATGGATGCTGCTGCCTCTCAATTTCCATGTACAGGTTGATGAATTGAGGAATATACCATTGTGTTATCAAGGCCTTTTCAAACAAAGCTGAAGTCAGCTTCTTGCTTGAATTTTCCCATTCCACCTTAAATGCTGAAGCAGTTACGTTCTGGTGCCTCATAATGGGAAAATTCAAACAAGAAATCTAAAAACAAAGAACATAAAGAGCTGTCAGTAATGTTATTTCTATCCCTCTTGTTCTTTCATACTCTCACACTCACTATGAAGTGAGGTTAAACCAAAGACTCTGTGGGTTAAACTAGTTGGCATGTCAGCTAGTTAGCTAATGTCAGTGTTAGCCTAACCCCTTTTCTTAACCACACGTAAACCCAAAATTAGCTAAAGTTAATTAGTTGGATTTATTCACTCTGTTTCACACTGTTTTTTTTTTTTGTATTATAGATTTGGAATAAGGTGTAATGTTTATTTTAGTGAGCTTTAAGCCAAAGTCCTGTCTTCAGCTCAGCTACCAATTACTTTGCAGTGCATAACCAGAGCGCCTCCCCCAGGTCTTATATGATTGGCTTACAACATATGAGGTCTGATATGATTGGCTTACAATGTATAAAGTCTGATATGGTTTGCCCAATGTTACATCAGTCAATCTCTGGTAGTACAATAGAGGCAGCACAGCATAAGAGCAGCAGCAGCAGCGCCTCCCCACGATCGCGCCCTGCTATTACAGCATATTGTGAATGAGAATAAACTATAGATGATTTGGACTAGTAATGTACATTTACTTAGAAAAGGGGGGCTAAATAACATTTGGCTCCCTAAAATTTGCCTAGCAATACCCATGATGATTTCAAACATTTGATCGGCAGTGTATATAAATAAATTTACTTACAAATAATGTCTGTATGTATTTGCATTTCATTGTGATTAAAATCTCACCACTCATTTTGAGTTGATGAAATAGTTCATACAAACAGCATGTTGTATGTAGTTTATTTAAAGTGTATCTCAAAGTCAGGAGGATCTGTTGATCTCCTCTGCTACAGAATCAGACTCTGCACTACAGCAAAGGAATCTGACTGATTCACTTCAGAAGGAAAGCAGGTTAACGCTTTTCTGACTTCAAAACAAGTTTGTACAACTTAAACTCCTCTGGGTCCTGTGTCCTGAAACCCATAATGTATGTTTAAATTTCTCAGATCTGAGTTCAGTTTCTTACAGGTTATCTTTAGTGGTGTTACTGGATGTGTCAGAATTGACTGCTTTACTACTCATTGTTTACAAGATGAGCAACACATTTACAGGACCAAAAAGAACAGTAAGTTTGTAAAGCCAATTTAATGAATGAATAATGAATTTATGTTTATTATATACATTATTGCAAAAAATAGTTCAGTCTTATTAAAGAGCAGGATCAGATGGTTATAACAGACTCCGGAGAATAGATTAAGAGTGTAAGATGAGTTGTTCAGTCAGGGGGAGGAGTTGAGTGTGTGTAGAGAGTAGAGATGATCAGCACACTGACATGCTGAGGAGCTCAGAGTGTTTTCTTCTCACAGTCAGTGCTGACCACCATGATCATTTTCACTGTACTGCTGCTCTCAGCACTTAAAGGTAAAGTTTTCAGAGATTTTTAAAAGTAGACAGAATACTACAATGTACATAAAACATTCTTAAAGCTATTATTTAGTCAGATTAGCTTTGTGTATGGTTGGTTAATCATTAACATAATTACTTTAAAAAATTGTAGGTAACAGAGCTGAAGACGTCATCACTCCAGACAGAGACATTGTTTTTGCTGTTGAAGGTCAAAATGTTACACTTTCCTGTAACTACAGTGGAACTGAATACGGTGTTCACTGGTATCGACAGTATTCGGATTCACCTCCACAGTTCCTCATACTGGACTTTTCTGGGGTCATTACTGAAGCTCAACCTCCTGTTCCTGGAATATCAATTGATCATGTAAAAAAACAGAAGAAAGTGGATCTGTTGATCTCCTCTGCTGCAGTATCAGACTCTGCACTCTACTACTGTGCCATGAGGCCCACAGTGACAGGAAACCCAGCTACACTGTACAAAAACCCCCTTACAGTAGCAAAAGCTAAAACTGCCAATGACTCATAGTAATGGCACCGCAGAAGCTGAACAATGAAGGTTCAGAATGGTAATGTGAGCTGGTATTTTATTGATGATAATACTATGTGAAATCTTAAATGGCAGATTCATCTACATATATATAATATGGCACGCCAAACAGGAAATATTTAATTAACTTTGATATATATGGAATGAACATTGATATATATACAATGAACATTGATATATATACAATGAACTTTGATATATATACAATGAACTTTGATATATATATACAATGAACATTAATATATATACAATGAACTTTGATATCTATACAATTAACATTGATATATATACAATGAACTTTGATATATATATACAATGCACTTTGATATATATATACAATGAACTTTGATATATATGGAATGAACATTGATATATATTGAATGAAAGTCGCTGTTGAAGGGTTGAGGATGGCCAAGAAAAACTGTACATCAATAAATGGGCATTAACAAACTCCAGGTGTAGCTTAAAGGGAATTCTGATAAAGTGACCAGTATCTATACACAGTGATCCCGTGGACAGAGTGACCTGAGAGTGGCGGTTATATGATTTGAAGAAACAGATGGGTGGAGTTTCAATATATACATAATTTGACATGGTGCAGAAGAAGAGTCAGATGAGGCCATAACTTCTGTTTGAAAAATGCTCTTTTATTGAGAGCAAGGGAAAACAGTGCCACTTGAAAAGCAACTGAAAATTGAGGTAGGTCACTCCTAGCCCTACTCTTTCTTCTGAGGGTCACCAAACACAAACACACTCTCCCTAACTCTGAGCTGGACAAAAAATAACAGCAAACACATACACACACTGTAACTGAAAAACAACAACATAGGAACATTAAATAACAATGTAAACAGTCAACCCCAAAAGTCCCTCTCTGTCTAAACAAAACATTTTATGAATTATAGTATTCATTTTTTCATCTCAATGTTCGATCCATGTACATCAATGTTCATTCAATATATATACATTTTCATTCAATATATATCAATGTTCACTCCATATATATCAAAGTTCATTCCATATATATATCAATGTTCATTCTATATATATCAATGTTCATTCCATATATATCAAAGTTCATTGTATATATATCAATGTTCACTCCATATATATCAAAGTTCATTCCATATATATCAATGTTCATTCTATATATATCAATGTTCATTCCATATATATCAAAGTTTATTCAATATATATCAATGTTCATTCTATATATATCAAAGTTCATTCCATATATATCAAAGTTCTTTGTATATATATATCAATGTTCATTCCATATATATCAATGTTCATTCCATATATATATCAATGTTCATTCAATATATATAAATTTTCATTCAATATATATCAATGTTCACCCCATATATATTAAAGTTCATTCCATATATATCAAAGTTCTTTCCATATATATATATATATATATATATATATATATATATATATATATATATATATATATATATATCAATGTTCATTCAATATATATACATTTTCATTTAAGATATATCAATGTTCACTCCATATATATCAAAGTTCATTCCATATATATCAATGTTCATTCCATATATATCAATGTTCATTCTATATATATCAAAGTTCATTCCATATATATCAAAGTTCTTTGTATATATATATCAATGTTCATTCCATATATATCAATGTTCATTCAATATATATAAATTTTCATTCAATATATATCAATGTTCACCCCATATATATTAAAGTTCATTCCATATATATCAAAGTTCTTTCCATATATATATATATATATATATATATATATCAATGTTCATTCAATATATATACATTTTCATTTAAGATATATCAATGTTCACTCCATATATATCAAAGTTCATTCCATATATATCAATGTTCATTCAATATATATCAATGTTCATTCTATATATATCAAAGTTCATTCCATATATATCAAAGTTCTTTCCATATATATCAAAGTTCATTCCATATATATCAAAGTTCATTCCATATATATCAATGTTCATTGATAATGTTCATTGATAATGCTGTTGATTACACTAGAATTACTATAATTACAGTAAAGGGCAAGATATGATAGTCTTTTTGATATCTTAAATTTAAATTTTTATTTTAATTTTAATATAATTAGTTTACTCTGCAATTACTAAAAAAGGGCACATGTCAGCCAAATGTTTTCCATGTACTCATATAATAGATGAAGTGTATAATGGATGATTTCATACAAGCCTGAAAGATATTCTTGAATGAGGTCCACTGATTGCAAGCACAAGGCCAAAGCTGCAGCCTATCTGCTAAGATACACGAGCGGACAAATGTTCAGGGTTTCACTGTGGTTAAAATTTTTCATTTTCATTATTGCTTTAACAATATAGTTAGAATTTCCCAATACTGACTGAAAAAGTGTGAGTAGAATTTATAATAAGTCACATTTTGCAAGGCACTGTTATTCCACTTGTGTTATTTCATGGTTTTGATGTCTTCTAAGATGTGTAGTAAAAATAAAGAGAGTTGTTCTGTGTTGAACTGATGGCTCAGTTCATAGTTACAGACTCTCAGATCAGCCTGTCACATGCTGTAATACTTCAGTACAAGCACTTCCTGGGTGGGAGTCTAACTGCTTCACGTAAAGAGCTAAACACAGAGACTACTTTTATACACAGAGACCACAGTGTTTTACAATGGCTCAAAAATGCGTCATACTGCAAACGGAGAGATATATAACACTTTATCTCATTGTAGCTTCAGGTAAACTAACAACTAATGTACATGTAGCTGGAGATGTAGTTACTAATGATCTAATATGATGTTTCAATGTGCCATTAAATATAGACTATTTTTCTTCTTAATTCAGGTGTTTTTGCAGATACAATTGGTCCGATGGAGGAAGATTCCAACCTTGTCAAAAAAGAGGCAGATGTTGTTACTCTGAAATGCTCATATGAGTCAACCAGCAGTAACATTTGGCTTTACTGGTACAGACAGCGTGTTAATGTAGCTCCAGAATATTTACTGTATCAAGGAGCAAAATCACGCAGTAGTGAGAAGAGTACCCCCACTGACACTCGACTTAAAGCAACAACAACTGATACATCTACTGAACTTAAAATCAGTGGACTAAAGCTCACAGACTCTGCGCTCTACTACTGTGTTCTTAGAGTAGACCCAGTGATACAAAGTCCCTGAGAGGCTGTACAAAAAGTTATTTCCTTACTACACCATGATATCAGTGAACCACAAACCCAGATAAAGACACTGCTAACACCTGCTGCTGGAAAAAACAAATTCAACCCTCAAAGCATAAATATAATGTCAAGTCTGAAATCATTTCTTTTATGTTTTAATTTTGAAAAAGATTATTTTCAACAGAGTGAAGCTGTAATAAATGTATGAATGTATACATGCATAGATGTGTAAATGCATGAACATATTCGGTTACATAGACTGTTTCTTTTGCATTTTCTAAAAGATGCATATGCCTTCCAAGTGAGAGGAAGGTGCATGACACACTGGACATTTTAAGGTGGTTAAGTTAGCAGCTAATGAATGCACAGTTTACTTTCAGCAGTGTTGAACTGTTCAGGGCAAATTATACTGTTTCACTATATCATTCAATAAAATAACTATACAATAATGATGATTTCAAAAGACATCAAAACTTCAAATTTAAATTTACTGACAATCCAGAAACTGTGTGTATGTGTGAGAGAGAGAGACTCTGCTTTGTACTGTTGTGTCCTGAGAGCCATTCCTCATCATTACATTCAACCATCATACACAAACATGCAGCTCTAAACAATAATCCTACAAATACACTTGTTAGCTTTATGCTACAATCATTCAAACTACACATTCATTATTCAATCCAACACAAGAGCTGACAAAAGTAGCATATATATTCATGCCTTAATGCTTTTATCTTTTATAATAGTAAAACTCTTACGCCATTGAATCAAAGTATTCAACAGTTTGCTTTGTCACAGAAAGTTTCCTGTTTCAAAACCTGCAGTGCTGAATTAGTACTAAACTCCAACTAAAGATAACTAACAGAGCTCTGTAAGAGTTATTAAAAGCTGGTGATTGTGCTGTGTGGTTACACCTGTTGGAGAATGCTGCAGTTGTAAAAAACTGCTTTTCTGTTCAGTTTTGTTTTTGCTAATGTTAGTGGTTCTATTATTATTTATGCTTTGTTCTTCCACAAAGACAGAGAGCACAGTAGAGCAGCTCCCCAGAGCAGGAGTTTCCTGTTGTAGTTTCTCATAACTGCACTCACTTCAGAGAGATTCACACTAACACACAGATCAGCATTAGAGCACTGAGAGCTTAAACACACTACTGACTCCATCTGATCATATTCACAATGAAGAGAAACCTCCTCATCATTCTCATCATCACATCAGGTACTCACTGTGCAGATGTGCTCAGAACTTTAGCACAATCATATTTTAATTTAAAATATTTATTATTTCTATTCCACTTTCAGGTGTGTTTGGTGCTGATCAAATTGGACCATCAGAAGATCAGGAGACTGATGTTTTTAGAAAAGAATCTGTTACACTGAAACAAGCAGCTCTGAGAGTCGGCACTGGAGGAACCAGCTGAGCATAAGACTGGATGGCCAGCAATTCAGGCTCTTAAATGTCAGTGTTCTATCTGGGCAATGCTATGGGGCGAGGCACCGGGTCATTGGTGTTCTCTTGGCACTGGCCAGCCCCATAGACATTAATGTCTGTTTGACAACAGCCTTCTTTGCTGCAGGCAGAGCTGTGCAGACATTCTTTGTTGTGGTGGACTTCACCCTCGCTGTGTCACCATCTGCCTGCTTTGCAACACAGGGGCTGGAACTGGAGTGGCATAGTCCACCCAAATAATTCTTAGGGTTTTCCCTCCACTTCTTCAAATACATACAATCTCAGAAATAAAGGTACTAAACTGTCACTGGGGCAGTACCCCTCTTGTCACTGGGGTAGTACTCTTAAGGGTACATACTTTTAGTCAGGGAACATAACTGTACCATAATCCTGTGAAATTATATTTTCAAAGTTGTAATGACTCCACACACCCCATCTCATCTCCAGGCTTTTTATTTTATTGTTCTAAAACAATTAGGTTGTTTTAAAACATTAGGTTATGAAAAGGTATAAATATGTACTTTTCTCTTGGAAAAACTTATTTACGGTGCACAATTGGACCTTAAAACCACTGTTGTACCTTTGAGGGAACATTTACACTGTTTGTACCTTGATGAGCGAGAAATGTACCTGCGCAGTACCTTTATTTGTGACAGTGTAGGGGGGGGCCTGCAAATTAGATGCTTTACTTTGGAAGGCCCACACATACACAGCCCAGTCCAAGGCAGGTCCTCTTAACAAAGAAGCAACAAATGATTCCTCAGACCACAAAAGCCCAAAATTCTTCAAGTAATCTATCAAATATTCCAAGGAGGACCTGTTCTGAAGAGACGAGCATAGTGGTAGTCGCAAGGGGCTTGCTACTTTCCGCATCCTTTGTTGTCAGTAAAGTATAGTAATAAAGTATTTTTTTGTAAAAAAAATAAAAGATGTTTGTTATGTTTTTCCAAATCAGGTTGTCCTCTATTTAAACAATAAATTGGAAATCTCACAAAAACACATGGGTAAACACTTTCTATGTTTTACTCTCTTAGTATACATCACCTGAATAAACCATTTTTATTACAGCACTACATTGTTCTGCTTTAACAATTTTCACAATCTACTATGTGCACATGCACTTCTTGTTAAATATTAAAGTAATAAAAACTGATACATGTGCTTTCTGTTCCATGTAAAAACTCAAATAAGAAACTTTCTGGGACAAATAACAAATTATATTCACATAAACTCAAGGAATAGCAGTTACAACCACTTTCTATAGATCTTTATTTTGTTCTGATCACTTTCCATCAGATTTTTGCAACACTCTAGCCTTCTTCAAGATATAAGTTGCATAAACAGTCTGTGTGTTGGATGAGGGGGGATCCTTCCTGATGCTGTACACTTTCTTTAACACTGTTCAGTGTAAATGTCCTTAATGACGGGGAAGCTTGACCCAGTGATGGGCTGGGCAGTTTTCACTACCCACTGCAGTGCTTTCCTGTCTGAGATGAAGCAGTTCCCATACCAGATGGTGATGCTGCAGATCTAGATGCTCTCTGTGATGCTTCTATATAAGCAGTTGAGGATGGGTGTGTACAGGCCAGCCCTCTTCAGTCTCATTAGGAAGAAGGGGTACTGTTGTGCCTTCTTCACTAAGAAAGAGGTGTTCATGGACCAGGAGAGATTGTCAGTGATATGCACTCCCAACTTGGAGCTGTGCTGTCAACTGCTCTACCACTAACGTGCAGAGGGGTTTGAGGGGTCTGTGTCCTTCTGAAGTCTACAATCATCACTGTCTTGGTCACATTTAGAGAGAGATTGTTTTCTACACACCAGCGTTGCCTCACTTCCTCTCTGTAATCTATCTCATTATTGATTGAGATGAGCCCCACAACTGTAGTGTTGCATACTTGACAATGTTATTGCTGTGATGTTTGGCATGGGTAAGCAGGGTGTATAGCTGAGTACACAGCTTTGTGAGACTGTTGTGTTCAGATTGATGGAATCAGATCTATTTGGGATCCTAACTGTCTGAAGTCTGTTACTATAGAATAAGCCCCAGTCACAGAGAGACAAGCTTAGAATTAGTGAGTGGAATTTGATGACTAGTGAGTAGGACTGATGGTGTTGAATGCTTAACTGAAGTCAATAAACAGCATTCTAACATAAGCGTCCTTGTTGTCCAAGTGCGATAAGGCCAAGTGGATGGCAGTGGGTGTGGCATCCTCAGTGGAGTGATATTGCCTGTAGGCAAATTGGTGGGGGTTCAGAGTTGATGGTTAATGGATTTGTTAATGTGAGGTATGACCAGCCACTCTAAGCCATTCATGACGGGTTTGGAGCAAACAGACAGCAGTCATTGAGGCAATGGGAAAGATGGCTGATTTGATGCATGTTGGGACAGCAGCCGCCCCAGGGAGGTGTTGAAAATGTCTGTGAAAACAGCAGCTAGCTGGTGAGCACACTTCTTAAGTACATGCCCAGGAATTCTGTCAGGGCCTCCAGCTTTGCACGGGTTCACCGTCAGCAGACTTCTTCTCACATTAGCTACATTCACAGACACCACCTGATCACCAGGAGAAGAACAGATTGTCACTGCTCCTTCAGTGTTGGATGCTTCAATATAAGCATAGAAGTTGTTTAAAGCATCCAGGAAGGCAGTGTCATGGGTGCAGGTGAGATGATTCGTCCTCCTGTAGTCAGTGGCAGTTTGAATGCCTGCGATCAGGTACTAACAATGAAGATGAGCTTAAACATCTTTGGACTCTTTTATTATACGTGTGATAATCTGTCTTATATTTTTTCTCAATATATTGAACTATCAGGAGATTAGGAGACTGATGTTTTTAGAAAAGAGGGAAAAACTGTTACACTGAAATATTAGCTACCTAGCTAGGTCTAAAACTATGCTTTTTAATACTTTTAGCACCAGTCAATGGCAAAACACTAGGATAAACATCACCTACAGGCCTACAGTATGAACAAATGGTTTATGTAGCAGCTACCTCATCTGTGTGTATTAGCAATTAATATCTTGCTAATATCTTAACTAATATCTTGGAATTAGCTTAAGTTGAAAGGGATAAACAATGGCAAATAATCTCTAGCTACTTAAAGGTGAAGGCATAAAGAGCAAATGTATTTAGGAAATTAAAATAGCATCAAACAGCAAAAAGAATATATGTACTTACATGTTTGTGAAGATCAGTAAGAGAGAAGGACCTGTATGGGGAATGTAGGTGCAACTGTTTAAAGGTTGTCTGTCCATATGGTTTAATCATATTGAGCATTTAAATAGTTTTTACAAAGTTTGTTTTGGAAAAGATCTATAAGCCAAAGATGCATTTGCTTAAAACAGATAAATCAAATAAAAAATAAAAATAAAATAAAAAATAAAATATATATTTTTTTTATCTGCACTATATGTCTGACATTTCACATTATACCTCTCTGATAGTGCAGCTATTTGGTTTGCAGTCCCTGCACCACAGTACTGATAACTTTAGTCCTTTATTTCATGTCACTGCACGCATGCATGTTTACACATATTTAATCATTGAAATAGCACAT